TATAAAAAAAGAAGATAGCGGCGACGGCGGCAGTGATGGTAGCGAAAGAGGGTAGATATAGATGATGAGGGGTGAGGAAGCGCAAGGGAAGTAGGAGAACGCCCGATTAGAATAGCGCCCTCTGACAACACAAAACAAAATGAAACACAAAGCAGTGTTTTCATAATTAAAAAGATTGCGCGCGCTTCTTTCCTCCTGCCATTTCTATTCATATCTTTTTTTTATTTTCTCTCTCTCTCTTTCTCTCTCTCTCTCTCTCTCTCTCTCTTTCTCTTCCTGGATAGAGACGGTAAGCGGGACAAAAGAAGCGGAATTCAATAACCGTATTAATACGCGTCGTCTTTAAAAAGAAACCGAGCAGACGCATTAAAATATATTTTTAATCAATCTAATTGTCGTACGAGATCTAATTGAGAGTATAAGGAATTAATATTAAGATTACAATGAATTTATTGACTTAACAGAATAAAGTCTAATGCAAATATATTTTCAGTTATATGCTTTTTAATTGTAAATCTGTGATGATTAATAACATTAGCTTTCAAAGTTTGACAATATTGCGTTATATTATATAACGATAGCATTTAAAATATCTCGATGTAATAATGACGCGATATTTCTATCATACACAAATAAATCAAATTTCTTGTATATCTATCTACTTGCTAATTAAAAAAAAAAAATAAAAGCAATAACCCGTAATGTCTTCGCATTTGCAGTCAATGCATTAAATGTCAAAGAAATACAAGCTCGAGGGAAACAAATAATGTACCCCAGAGACAAATCTGTCGCTAATTTACGGCAAATTTAACAGGTATCTTTACTTATGAATTGCGTCGTCGATTATTCAGCATACAGAACACGACAAAAGTAAAAAAAATATACGACTTTATTTAAGATTTTTCAGATTTAATGCATATTATAATCAAGGACTTGGACCGAACCGGAATCGGAACCAATAACTATTCCGTAATCTTTTGTTTTAATCAAAGCGAAATTGGAACCAAATCGAAATTTCATAAAGTTTATAATACCGAAACCGGTACCGGATCAGTAAAATTATTTTCGGTTTTTATGATTTTTTTTGGTTCTTTTTTCGATTCCTATTCTATACTTTATCACTCTTATTTGTTAAATTTTTTATTTGTTTATATCGTTCTCCTTTCTTCTTTATGTTACATGATTTATAGTGGCTCTTGCAATCCATTCACGTTAAGTAAAGGCCATAACACATAAAAAACGTAAGTAGTAAGACTTCGGCAGTAAATAAACTGACTAATTACAGTTACGTATTCTCGAAAAAATTCGACGATGATTGACTAATTTGCTTATTGCTTAAGTCTTACTTAAACTATTGCACATACAATGGATATAAAACAAAAATGAAAAATGAATATTGATAAAGATTTTACATGCCTCCATTTTTCTTGTAAAATATTATTTTGGTAAAATAAAACTGTAAATTTTTTTTTTTTTATAAAATTATAGAGAAATAATTACAAAACAGAATTTACATTAAATACTACCAAAAAATTTTTTAATTAAGTTTTACATTTAATATTTCTAAAAGTCTTTTATTTTTTAAAAAATAGATTACATTCATGTTAAACTTATGTTAAAATGTACAAATGTATAATTATAATGTTAAAATGTAATAAGTTATTTTTATGTGTGTATCAAATGTTTGCAATGCAATATAATATCTTATAACGTAAAATAAAAAATTATATTTAAACAACATAATTAATTTTAATTATTTTTTTTATTGTTTAAAGTTTTTTTTAATATTAAAAAACCTATTTTTCTGTATAACCCTTATTATCATCATTCTATCTATAGCTACTTTTAGTGTATTTATATTTTTTATAGTATATTAATTCTCTCTCTCTAATTGCAATGTCCGTTATAAAAATCTATCATTTAACGCATTTATAAATTGTACGCATGCACTTTTGTCACGTATTTCTTTCGTATACTCTTAATAAATTAACCACTAATAATCGCTAAACATTTTATATCAGTTATTTCTTTCCTAAATTTTTGTTTTTCATTTATAAATTGTGTATAGAATGTTTCACTCAAATATCTCTCTTAAATATTAATTTTAATTTAAATTAATTGTGTTAAAAAGAATTTTAGAAAAACCGAAATCGAAAAAAACAGTTATTTAAAAGGTTCTTTTTTTATCAACTAAAAAATGATAACTGGAACATAGTTATTAAATATTTTATTGGACCGTAAACCGAACCAAAATATCATATCGGTCCGAGTTCCTAATTATAATACACATACTTTTTCAAGTAATGTGTAAATTTAGTTTAATCGTATATAGTATTTTAAACATGCTCTCTCTTTGATTCTTTATTACATGAATATCCAGGGCTATATACAAATATTGCCATGTAATAAATATTCATATCCCATGTATTTTTAATTTTATATATAAGAAAATCAGATTTCTGATTCAGATTAATCTACAAGAAAAGTATCAAGCA